TAGAGATAGATCCTTCAATTCAATTTTAGGAAATTGTACTCTCTGTTCGATCCATTTTGCTACTGTAAGAAGTTCCTTCTCTTTAAGAGGAGGTCCCATAAGTTGTAGGGATAGTGGTAAACCATTTTTGGATAGTTTAATTGGCACATTAACCGCTGGTATGCCTGCCATGTTAGCAGGTTGGGTACAATAGTCTTGAACTGAACATTGTGCCTGGTTATCCATTGAAATGAAATCATTGTATTTTGGAGCCTCTGTTAAAGTGGTAGGGGTGAGTAGAAGATCAATATTATTATTCCATACTATATTGAAATCATCTGAAATTAATCTTCTTATTTTCATTGCTTTGACATAATATTCCTCGTAATTTTCTTGCAATAAAAAATAATTCCCAACTAGAATACGTTCTTTGACTATTTTACCAAAACCTTCAGACCTTGTCTTTTTATACAAATTATGTACAGAATTCCACTCATCTGATCTATGACCATATTTCATACCATCGTAACAAGCAAGATTGCTAGCAACGTCACAACGGTTTAAAACTGTATAGCACGTTATAGAATAGTTGGTATGTGGTAACGATACTGTGGAAAGTGATGCTCCACCTTCTCTCAAATATTGAGAAACTTCATCCCAGCATTCTTGTACTTCTGGGCTTAAATTTTTCTCTTTATATTCTTTCGGTATTCCAATTCTAAAATTACTAATATCTATTGTATCTGGTATATCAAATGATATATATTCCCTTTGAAAACAAGTAGAATCAAACTCATCTGGACCAGCTACATTATTTAAAATTAATACAGCATCATCAATGTTCCTTGTAAGAATACCAGGTACATCCATTGAATTTACAAGAGGAATAAGACCATAACGTGACACTAAACCATAAGTAGGCTTTAAACCAACTAATCCGCAATAAGATGCTGGATTTCTAGTTGAACCTCCAGTATCTGAACCTATTGCAGCGTAACAACTTCCAGTTGCAACAGCCACTGCAGAACCACCGCTGCTACCACCTAGGTAGTTGTAATAGAATTGTTATAAAACATTCGATAAAAGGTTTCACTAATATTTATTATACACCATGAGTATATATATACCTGCTATATGCCATGAGTTTGCATCTGTATTTTGTTGTATATGCTCTTTCGTTTGACTATTGCAAGAATAAAATTTTTTAAACACATCTGAATTCCATAAATTTTTTGTTGGTCCATAATAAGAATCAATGGTCCCAGAACCCATAGCAAATTCATCGAGATTAGTTTTACCAACTAACACTGCTCCAACATTTTTTAGATTCTGATATACAGTAGCATCGTAGGTGGGAATAAAACGTGACAACATCTTTGATGCACAAGTTGTTGGATGATTCTTTGTGCAATAATTATCTTTAATCGCAATGGGAATTCCATCGAGTTTTCCTAATAAACTACGATCTTTTTGTCGTGAATCAGAACATTCGGCATGTTCTTTGGCTGTTTCATGGGTAATGGTGATGTAAGCATTCAAAGGTTTAACAATCGATGTAACTTTAATAGCTGCTTTTATAATGTCAGAAGATCGCACATCGCCAGCATTTATCCTTTGACTTATTTCTTTTATCGATGCAGTTAATAATTTGTTCATGTTTTCCTAACAGTATAACCAAAAAAGTAATATATGCACATGACATAACCTTAATTTATATACCGGTAAGAAGCATAAATTAAATTCTGAATTTTAAAATAAATTGCTATAGAAAAGATGATATTAATGTATAAAATATAGTATTGTTAAATTCTACACTGTTTTTAAAATGCATCATAACTAAATTAACAATGCAGTAACGTTAATTAAAAGTTATGTGGCAAACAAACTGTTTAGAATATGTTTATACATATACATATATATGTAAATTTAATATAATAAATAATTGATAACTCAACTTTCAATTTTAATTTAATTCTTTCTATAAAATAATTGAATTTTCTTTCAATAATAATGTGACAAGTAAAACATATTTTTTTGTTTGAAAATAGTGTAATTTGAATAAAATTGTCAAATCTCTTAATTATTCATTTTTCTCGGATTAAAGTTCTCAAATCTTTCTTTATTCATTTCTTAAATTCATTTGTATTTTAGTAAAATTTCACTCATTTTATCACTCATATTATATTCAAAAATATTAAAAAACTAAGAAGCATCGTTAAATGTCTTTAAAAAGTATTTGACTTTTTAAATTCAAAGATTATTGATTTGATACGCTAAATCTCTATATGATTATAGTTCTTGAAGATAATCCATAATCATGCAATTTTTGAACAAACAACATATAGTATTGAAATTCGTAGTTATGAAACTTTATTATCGTATTTCTAACTTTCATTCTCAGAATGAATATCTAGTAATTTAATGGATATTTTATTATCTGATCGGTAACTTTTCATCAGTAATTTATTTAATTACTTGATGAATGTATATTTTTGATACAGGGAGTAATTTATACGGTCTTGACATAAACACAATAGGTACAGGAAATAGAGAAGATCTTAACTATTAGATGAGTTTAACTTTTTTCACCTTTCAAAAGTTGAATGCAAAAAGGCAACCTGCTGCCATTTTCACTTGATTCTCTATACGTTCAGAGGTTTCCAAGATGGCGAAGAAAACGTTAGCGGATAAAACACCTCAAAACGAGGATAACGTAAAAAATAATGATGATATATTTAACGACGATGAAGAACCAAATTTCAGCGATCCCGAAGGATTTGTCGATGACATAACAGACGAAGGTAAACGAAACTTTTTCTCAATGACAGTCAAATAGAAGCTATGCCACTTGACTGAAAGCATGGCTACGTATAATCGCAAATGTGGCATGCATACTTAACCTAAAAACCCACGAGTGTTTTATACTTCACATTAAATATTGATTAATAACACATCACATTGAAAACAAATTTCGTTTAATATTTTATATTGTCAGTATAATATTTTTTATTTATTATGAATTTATAGAACTTCTTGGTGATATCTTAAAGCAAAAGCCATCGGAGACAGATGGAGTGGAATCCGTGATTGTCGTGGACGGAGTTCCTCAGGTTGAGCCAGAAAGATTGGAGAAACTTCAATCTGTTATTAGTAAAGTCTTAGGAAAATTTGGCACAATAGTGAACCAATATTATCCCAAAAATGAAAATGGTTATACAAAAGGGTGTGTATCATTAATCCATGTGATGTTCTTATTCAGAGATTATACATGTGTAATGTATTAATTATGTTTTTTATTTCAGATATATATTTTTAGAGTATAATAATCCTCTTAATGCTTTGGCAGCTGCTCAATCTGTAAATAATTACAAAATTGACAAGCAACACACATTCAAAGTAAATCTGTTTACTGATTTTAAGAAATTTGAAGAGATTGCAGATGAATGGGAACCTCCAAAACCACAAGAGTTCAAAGCTGCTGCTGATTTACATTATTATCTTTTAGAACCAGATGCATATGATCAATTTTGTGTACTTTGTGGCAATGGAGCCTCTGTTACTGTTCAAGTCTGGCAGAATTCTGCTCCTGAACCAACATTACTTGAAGAACGTTCTGTAAGTTATTATATTTTATTTATCATTCATTTCATTTAATAATAAATTGTATTTTCTATAGCGCTGGACTGAGACATATGTTAAATGGTCTCCACTGGGAACCTATTTAGCGACATTCCATAAATTGGGTGTTGCATTATGGGGTGGCCCTCAATTTCTGCAACAAGCCAGATTCAGTCAAAAAGGTGTTGAATGTATTGACTTTTCTCCTGGTGAACGTTATTTAGTAACATATACTCCGCGAACTGATCTTGGTTCTGATCAAAAACGTCTTGTAATTTGGGACATTCTTACTGGACAAGAAAAACGTGCGTTCTTCGCAGACGGTTCTTCAGTGTGGCCTATATTTCGTTGGTCACATGATGATAAATATCTTGCTCGCATGGGAGAAGATGTTTTGAGTGTTTATGAAACACCTGTATGCTTTTATTTTTTAATGACATAGACAATATTTCATTATATCTGAACTTTAGTAAATTTATTATAAATGTTGCAGTCATTTGGATTATTGGATAAAAAGAGTATAAAAATTCCCGGTATCAGAGATTTTAGTTGGTCTCCCACGGATAACGTTCTTGCTTACTGGGTACCAGAAGATAAAGACGTTCCTGCTAGAGTCACTCTTCTTGAGATTCCAAAGTAATGCATTTTAATATCTTCTATTTTATATTCCATATTTCATAAATTATATGACAAATTGTTTAAATTATCGATTGTGATGCATATTTTCAGCCGAAATGAAATTCGTAACAAAAACTTGTTTAACGTAGCTGACTGTAAAATTTATTGGCAAAAGTCGGGAGATTATTTGTGTGTGAAAGTTGATCGGTTTGCCAAGCGCAAAGAGAAGACAGAACAGAAATACACGGTATTTATTAAATTAATTGAACGTAATAAAATAAAATACGTGTGTTATGTATAATAATTCATGTGTTCATGACAGGGTATGTCATATAATTTTGAAATCTTTCATATGAGAGAAAAGCAAATTCCAGTTGACAGTGTTGAAATAAAGGAGCCAATTCATGCATTTGCTTGGGAACCTGTTGGAAGCAAATTTGCTATCATTCATGGAGAAATTCCAAGTGTGAACGTTAGCTTTTACGAAGTACGATATGGCCATCAACCAGCTCTTCTTAGTAAGTTATAGTAATTGTAAAAACACAATGTTACCATGATATCATGTACATAAATATTTGTTTTATTCAACAGAAAAATTAGAAAAAAAGGCTTGCAATCACTTATTTTGGTCACCATCCGGACAATTTATTGTTCTTGCTGGATTAACAACTATGGCAGGAGCTTTGGAATTCATTGATACTAATGATTTTACCATTATGAACTCGACTGACCATTATCAAACTTCAGATGTAGAGTGGGATCCTACTGGACGGTAGGAATTTATTTTTATATTTATATACACACACATAGGAAACATTTTTTGTTATAAAAATTATATGAATACATATTTTATCATAGGTATGTAGTAACAGCAGTTTCGAGCTGGAAAACTAGTGTAGATAACGGATATTGGATTTGGACGTTCCAAGGACGTATCTTAAAAAGAGTTAATCTTAATCAATTTAATCAATTATTATGGAGACCAAGACCACCAACGTTATTAACACTAGAACAAATTAAAGAAATTAAGAAAAATTTGAAGAAATATTCAGCACAATTTGAAAGCAAAGATCGTATGCGATTGACGCGTGCTTCAAAGGTAAGTACTTGTATTAATGGATAGTAATAAATTACACATTTGCTAATAATATTTTTTAGGAATTAATCGAAAAACGCTGCGCAGCAATGAAAGCATTTGAAGAATATCGTTCAAAACGTATCCAAGAATGGAATAACCAAAAGAAGCGACGTTTAGAATTACGTAATGGTTTGTATCGTGACATTTTTATTAAATTTAAAAGTGAAGTATATTACATTATGTATTAAATTTTTTTTCAGCTATCGATACCGACGAATTAGATTCTGATTCAAAGAACGTAGAAGAAGAAGTAATAGAATTTTTCGTCAAAGAAGAAACATTCGTCATCGACGAAAAGTAAAAAAAAAAAAAAACTGTGTGGAAGAAGTTTCTATCTCTGCCATTTTTGGAAATCTCTAGTGTAAAACCAATTCAATCATTTGTGAAAAGTGTCATCGAAGTAATTATCTTCCAGAGTCACATAAATTGTGACTCTCAATAGTGGACTGAAATGACTGTTTTAAGTGGTTATGAACAGTTTCTCTTATACTATTTCTGTATTTTAATTGGAATTACTTCCACTCTCCCGATATTGCGTATGAAACGTCGTAAACATAGTACCATAAAGTTTTATCACGTTCCATACAGGATAGTATGTCATTTAAAGAATAATTATTATCAGTATAAACATACACAACGTACGTTTTTATTTATCAAACCCATATAACTCGATTTGTCCAATTTTATGTATTTAAAATGGAAAAAGAATTTTTTAATTCATACCTTTTTACTAATTATAAACATAATGTAAATGATGAATAAGGAATTTGTAAACTAATAATGTAAATTATTCTTTTCTAATTCATATAATTATTTGTATTAAAAAAAAAACAATATAAATGAATTTTACCCATATGTATATTGACTTAGATTATAAATGGTAGACATTTAATAGATAAAATATTAAAAATAGTATCGAAACAGAACAACGATAGCACATACCCAACTTGGAGGAATTCTATCTCGTTCAAAAAATGTTTCATTTGTTATACGTTGAGCATGTAAAAACAAACGTTCTTGCTCTTTTTGTAGTTCATTTTGTAAATTTCTATTCTTGGTTACAATAGCAATCTGAGTTTCTAAGTCTTTATTCACTGATCTGTAACCTAAAATTAATTTTTTTTTTTCTATTATTTTAAAATCGATTTCTCTTTGACTTTTAGATTTTACCAAAATTAGGAGATCCAACAAGCGTGAGACACGGTTTTTCTTGATTTGGTAAGGAATACCAAAGTCCTTTAGCGTGGTATGTCCATCCTGGCTTAACAAATTCCCATAAAATTACTCTATCTTGTTGTCCCAACTTGTTACAGTATTTAACAAATGATTCTTCTATTTTTGTGTATGCTGCTGGGATACCATTAGCAATGCCCTTTGCAGCTAAGTATAATCCATCACATTAATCGAAAAAATAAACAATTTTCTTTCGATTATTTTTACAATGTAAACTTACTATAGAAACCATTTGTAGTTGGATGTGCTGTCAGAAGATGACATGTTCCTTCACAATGTTCAAGTAATGCTTTACTGTACTCCGAAGTTAAGTTAAAATAACCAGTTGCTAATTTAAGTGTTGCTCCTTCTGGAGCTGTCTGTAAAAGCTTCAACGTTATCTGGCTATCGTGATAAATGTTTAATTGACCCATTTGTACCAAAGGAAAGATCCAAGTATCTTTTCCTACAAATTGAACTTAAATTTTAATCTTGATTTATTTCATAAATACATATATAAATATAAAAGATACACATACACACAGACACACACCTATTTTTTCAGGATCAGAAGATCCTAATTCTCTCTGGAACAAAGTTTTTATGCTATGTGCAGCTTCTTTAATGAATGTAATAGGATCTTCAAGAGGATTGACTTTCATAGCAGAAGTTAATACTGTACCATCAGATTGAAGTACAAAACTAAATTCTCCAACTCTTTGAACCAACTCATCATAAAAATCACAAAGCTCTTTACAGTTTTCAATTAGAAAATAACGATCTTGTCTATTTGTAAAGTAGTCATTGCTGAGATTAGCACTAGAAAACATAATAAATTATAACTTTTTATTTATATGACATAAAATTAAATATGTAATTATTTACCCACTAATTATTATGTCATTGTCTATCATATATAACTTCATATGTTGTAATCCTATCAATTCATTGAAACGGTCTGGTATAATCATTTTTAAGAATCCACGAAGTTTAGGAGTATGGTACAAGTAAATCTGACAACAATGACCATATTTTCCATTAAGTAGTGGTTCTAACATTTTACGGGAATTTAATTTACCTCTGGATCCTCTCATAAAATCTAACAAAATTTTAACTTCAACATTACCATTATTTGCAATTAAAGCTTCATTTACAGCATTTACCTATGCATGACAAAAACACTATAAATTAGATAATATAGATAATTAGAAACAGAATTAAATTATCATGTCAACCCGCTAAATGTTTAGCTCTAGAAATATGCTTACTAAATTAGATTCTAATTTTCCTATGCCTAAATATAGCGATGCAAATGTTATCCTTTTTCTAGCATTCTTGCACTTACGTACAAGAGTAGAATAAAATTTATTTGGTTCATGAATTATTTTAATCTGAAAGTAGAATATTTCTGTCAAATATATTTCCAATTCTTTCAGAATTAATTTCAACATCTACCTTAGATCCATTCACAGGAAAGCAAGGAGCACTTTTATACAACCAGGTTAATGTACAAAATTCAGATTGAATTGTTTCATACTCCAAATCTTTCTCTTCATCTGTCACAGTAATTGATGTAATATTTTTTGCCATAGGTGAAGAAGAAGGTTTTAATTCAGGTTGAGTAGAAATTAATAACTTCCTTTTATGAAACCTAAAATTTTAGATAATCATAAAGTGATCCATAAAACGTACATATTTTATTGATAATAAAACTGTAAAAACTATAATAGTTTCATTCATGAAAATTCAAGTCAAGTAACTCAAATGAAATTTTTTCATGATACGAGTGTATGATAATTTATGGGTCAAAAAATAAATGTTATTAATTCGCTTCCTAATACAATTTTTATTTCGAATTTTCATATTTCCCAAAATGTCAGATTTGTCAAATTCATAGATACATAAATACATAAATACATAAATACATCACGTTATACTCATTGTCAAATTAACATATATAGGTTAATCTATCTTTATTCATTTCGAAAAGAATGAAATTTGATAGGACATTTGTATTGGTTAAATTTCTCACATTATACTCACCGTTTCACGGTTTTCAAAATTACGCTATGCATGAATAACTTCTTAAATAACAAGATATTAACAATCACAGACTTTAAATTACAAATAACTCTTCCCTCCCGAATACAAATTGCAGCGCACGCGATCTTCTGGTCTTTTCATGCATTATATAAATCTACTTACATCTCTTTCTTTCATACAACTATTTTATAAACAATTTTTTGATAAATTGAAACGAAAATAGCAATTGTAATGCGCGTTAATTTTATTTTGTTAGTAGTCCTATTAACATATCAAATATTTATAACAAATTTCAAATCTTATTTAGTCTAAATTCTTAGCAAAATTTAAAAAGAACTTAAAGAAAATGTGTCTAATATTTTACTAATTAACGTATATATCAGTTTTTTGTAATTTGTTATTATTTATTGGAATAGAATCATTTCATTGAAAAATTCTTAGCAATGAATTTTTTGAAATTTGAAATAGTTTCTCTAGCTACTGAAGTATTTGATTTTTTTATTACGAAAAGATAACATTTGTAAAGAATAAAATAAATAAATAGTAGCTGGAGAATAGTGAAAGTTCTTGATGAATTTTTCACCTATTTATTATTGAAATATAAAGTTTATTCCTTCTATTAAAAAATCATACCATTAACAATTAAGAATATACTTCTTCTATTGATAAATTCCAGATTTTTAACTGATGCTAATCTGATCTCTAACTGAAAATAAACAGTATTTTGTCAAAGTTCATGATAGATAATCCTGTATAAATCTTATCAAGAACAGTCATAAAAATCCGATACCTACTTACATAAATTGCAAACGAAGCGCCTCTTTGCGGGGGCACTTAGAATCAATGGTCGATAGAGAATACATGTACGGAGTAGCAGAGGATTGATGTAGAAGGTTCGTATCGTAACAAACGTATAAAAATGGATATAAACGTTAAGAAATTGGTCAAAGATGCTGGTGCTGCGCTTAGCAGGGTTGTACAGGTAAGAAGTACCTTCTATGATAATTAAAAAATTATTGATAAGAAACAGTACTAGTTAAGGCACTTGTGATTGAACGCTGTCATTTCTGACATTTTGTACCTTTTCCACTGGGGAAAACATTTAAACAAAATGATCTTTACTTGATAGTTATTGCTTTGTTTAAACGTTATGAAATTACATATTCGCCAATGGCTTTTATACTTTTATATTTATAAAAATATATATATACTTTCATTTGTAATTTGTCTCTGTGCATTAAATTTAATTATTGAGATGTAAGGTTAGTAAATATATAGCACGTCTCAATAATTGTTTACATGTTCTACACTGTACTATTTGTTAATTTTTTATTTTTTTTTTTTTTTGTTGTATTGTTTGTACTAAAACTCCTCAATTTTACATGATTGCAGAACGACTGTATAATGTGTGTGAGTTTAAATAACTGATCATTTGATGACTCAGATATAGATTGGAATGACTAACACTCCAGTCCTTCTTATTATTCATGCTAACATTGTCAAAATTTAGATATAGGATCTATTCTGATGTTAGGAAAAATATAAGAATTTATGACAAATAATATATATATTAAATAGTCAAATGCTTTGATTTATTATAATATTTAAAATTTGTTCATAGTTAACAGAGGAAACATTGGGAACATCGGAGAAAACTGAATTAGATGCACATTTAGAGCATCTTGCAGAAAGAGCAAATGCAACTAAGACATGGACTGAGAAAATCCTTAGAAATATGGAGGCAGTACTTACTCCAAATCCAGGTATTAAAATATATATTAATTAAAATTATAATGTGTATTTATACAATGTATTTTGTTGTAGGCAATAGAATTGAAGACTTCTTCTATGAAAAAATCGATAAGAAGAGACCTAACAGATTAAGCAATCTAGAATATGTAGGCTTGGATATGATAGAAGCAGGAAATGATTTTGGTCCAGGAATTGCTTATGGTATGTAGCTGTCATTTTTTTTTGTCAGCACTCTTCTGTATTTTCTATAATTCCTAAAACTATTCTTTAGGCAGTGCATTAAACAAGGTTGGACAATGTCAGCAAAAATTAGGACAAATTGAGAGAAATTTCATTAAAGATGCAGCTATTTGTTATATACAACCCTTGAGGAAATTTTTGGAAGGTGAAATGAAAACTGTAACTAAGGAAATGTCAATATTGGAAAATAAACGGTATGTATTTCATTTTTTTCCACACATTTAAATGTTCATTGTTAATATTTCTATCTCTCATTTTTAGATTGGACTTAGATGCATGTAAAAATCGAGTGAGGAAAGCAAGAAGTATGCTAGGTCAACAGAGTGTAAGTTCTAGTATTTATCATTATATTTAATTCTGTACTCTTTATGTTTACTATGTGCTTTGTCCTATACATTGCTGCATCTCATAGGAGTCTGGGGTATCACCCGAAGTATTACTTGATCAGGTATTAATGGAGTCGATACCTTCAAAATTTATGGCTAGCTTTAAAATATGTATATGTTTTTAATTTTCAAATTTGTCCATTTACATATTTTTCATCATAAAGATTATTCTATAAATTACTTTCTATTATCAGTAATTTTTATGTTTGACAAATAATCCTTTATGCTAATGAGACATAAGATAATAAAACTCTCTATTACTCTACTTAGGCAGAGAGGGAGTTGAGAATAGCACAATCGGAGTTCGATCGTCAAGCAGAGATAGTAAAGCTACTGCTGGAAGGCGTTCAAAGCTCTCAGGCTGGGCATTTGCGTTGTTTGCATGAATTTGCTGAGGCACAAGCTCGTTATTATGCTCAATGTCATGCAGCAATGCAAGATTTACAACGTGAACTTGCTGGGTAAGATAATAAACTTTTTTTTAAAGATTTTTCTTTTTAAATATTGTTTAATTATCCTGCACTACCCTTGTACAGCTATCCCACTCTTTGGTGATCCGAGTGAGTAATGTTTAATAATTATTGGCTGTTATGTCATATATGACATGTAAAAGTATTTAGAATAAGCTTATAGAACCATTACTCATTCGCAGAGATCATCATTTTGTACGGTTTAAAACTTTGCTGATTTCTATAAACGTGTAATATGTAATGTCTTTCTTTTTGTTTCTCGTTTTAAGTAGTAGTAGTAATCTATCTTAATTATATGCTTCACAATAAAACTGGTACCTTTTTTTTTGCTCTAGTTCTGTGCTTTTTATATTTATTTATTCTTTCAATGTACTCTTTCTATTCTCTATCTGCCTGCATGATTGGGATTGCAGGACACGACAACCGAGTCCTTTGCTGCGAGTCAACAGCGAAGATGTGATCGAGCTAACACCTTCACCTTCACAATCCCAAAATTCCTCTATACATCCATCACTTGCTGGTTCTACCTATGTTACTGCTACCTTTGATACCGATATTTCAAAAGTTTAACTTTAAAAGCTTATAAGCACGTTAAAAAAATGGCAATAACTACTTTGTAATAATTGTGATCTAAAATAATAAACGAAAGCTAGGGCATTTTCTCTTTGATATATATAGATATATACTTGTTAACTGATGCAATTTTAGAAATATGTTGAATAATTCTTAATCTATTATACTATTTTAAAACCTGTAAGTATCAGAAATCAGTAAATAAATTATCTCTATAAAATGTTTATTTACTATCGATGAATAAAGGTTGTGTTTATTATATTAACCAAAAAAATAATGCAACTAGGAGAAAAATTGTACATATTTTTTTTTTTGATTTCTCACTGTTCTTTACAGTTGAATTAATGTCCAAGTATATATTGTATAATTAATTAATGTTTGTTTTTAATGCATGTTGCTAAATTTTCTTTAATACTAACAAGATATTTATCAAGAGATATTCTTTCTTTCACAAAATTTCATTATCTTCCAAAATGTTGTTTTTCGTTTTCTTATTTGTTGAACTGCTTACGCCTTTATGTGTACATCAGTTTTTCAGTAATTTTAATTATATTCATTTATATGTATCTAGCATGTAGATTACATAAAATCCTAATGATACAAGTAATAAAAATTCCTGCTTATTGTAAAGTAAAGAATATATTATTCCATTATCAAATTTTTTGTGTCAAATATCATGAATTACAAATACAATTAAAATTCAAAATATTTAAGAAACAAATTTTTCATGTTTGCACAAATAGTTGATTCACTTTAAAACGCATGTACAAACTCATCCAATTTGTAATTTATCCTACCCAGCTTATCTGGGGGTCCTTATCATCCGACTACCCAATCAACATCCAATGTATCAGGGAAAGATGATGAGCAACTAGCAAGGGTATTATGCAATTTTTCTGCGACAAATTCCGATGAATTAAGCGTCGAACAAAATGAGGTAACAAAATTTGTAATTTAATTTGAGAAGCATGTTTGCAGTATAGCCGTACAAATGGCATGAAACGTTATTAAAAGTGAGTTTCATTAGTTCAATTATTACGTGTAAAAATTTTGTAATATTGATTGAAAATTTTATAATTTCATTAGATTAATTGTTCGAATTTTTTGTTTTCTATAATTAATGAAATTTCATTATTAAGCATTAAAAATCAAATTTTTAAAAAAATATATTACTTGTACATGAAAACATGTAAAAAAATTGTGCATTTTAATATAATGTAAATGCATTTTAGCTTCATAGAAGATGTAAGAGATAACAGTGCTACTTATAAAAGAATTCTCTATGATACATTGTCTTATAGATCTTGAATAGTGTGTAAAAAAAAGTAGAATGTTTAAAAGTAGTGTAAATAAATTTTTGTAGTTTTATATCTCCTAAGAATGATTTAAGGTGTTATCAAGTAAAAAGATATATATTACTTATGATACTCATTTAACTTAAGTCTTTCTGTTTAAAGATTAGCATTTTTACATACCTGACATTAAATTTCTAAGAAATTATGCATGATATCTATATTTTTTAATTGTAAGTTTTATGAATGTATAATTAATTTTCCTACTTTTGTTAAATTTGTTTTTGGTATTTAATATTATATGTTTGTCTTAATTTGTATATTTGTTTATACATAAAAAATTATTGTTACTTGTACGCATATAAAAAACACAAATGTACATTTATTCAATACTTGCATGTATGAACAATAAATTGTCATTCATCCTGTTAAACGTATTTTATTTTTTATGTCCTTAAACTTTTGCTCTTATATTATTTCAGCTTCAGTTTTTTTTATTCGTTTAACTCAATGAGTTCCTTTGGTGCATTGAAATTCAGTAGATTAAATTTGAACAAATTTGGAATTTAACTGCCTTATAGGTAATTACGGTTATCGAGATACCTGGCGACGAGGACTACGTAATTGGTATAAGTGGAATAAAACGAGGAAAAGTACCAGCAGCATATTTAGAGTTAATCGATGTTGGCCAACGAAAATTCAGTCAATAACTTTAATGTACATTCCTTATATTTAAATATTTCATTCTATTTTCGGTCTAAATTCAAATTACACTATGCACTATTAAATATTTCTTATGCAGTTAATGTAAAAACTAACTACCAAATTGTAATTAATCGAGAAACACATTTTTGAACCATATATTTGAACTATATATTCCTAAACTCTGTATAAATAATACGAAATATTGTACAAAAAAGTATATCAAAACAAGCAGTCAATTTTCAAAATATGAAAACAAAATATTTCGAAAATGTTATGTAATTGTAAATCTGTTCAAAAGAAAAATTGTATTCTACAAATATTAAAATCATTATATATGTATATATGTTGATATTGTGTATAATAAATATATTGTTCAAAACAAGTGTCATTCTTTAAATGAAACTCTTAATGCTGTTTTATTAATTTATTGATAATTAACATAAAAAACATAAAATTACTTCTTTTTCGATACACCTACTGTACGTCCACGGCGACCCGTAGTCTTTGTATGTTGACCACGTACACGCAGACCCCAATAGTGACGCAAACCTCGGTGAGCACGAATCTTTTTCATTCGTTCCAAATCCTCACGAAGTTTTGAATCCAAATACGAACTGGTAAGCTTTAAAATGTGATACAATAATTATTATTTGTTTATTATTCCTAAATAAGCTATCACAATATTAAATTTCACATGTTGCAGAGTAATCAATTATTCAATGTATTATTTAATTTCAATATTAAATAATAAAATTTACCATGCAGTTTCTCTAGCACAAGCTACCAACTAATTCATACATAAAAAGTTCATATGATTAGTCGTAATATTGTGCTTTACATATTTATGTTTTTCATTCGTAAATATACATACCTGTGAATATTTGCCATCAACAATATCTTTCTGTCTATTCAAGAACCAATCTGGGATTTTGTATTGCCTGGGATTAGCCATTATAGTAACAATTTTTTCAACCTGGTAAAAATATAAAAAAAGAAATATAGATAAAAAATATAATAAATTTTGATTGTATGATATTAACGATAAATCAATTTTTACTTCTTCCTCAGAACATTCTCCAGCGCGTTTATCCAAATCAATATCAGCTTTTTTCAAAACAATATTGGCATAACGGCGACCAACACCTTTGATTGCTGTCATGGCAAACATAACCTTTCTATTACCATCAATGTTCGTGCCCATCACACGAAGAATGTGTTGGAATTTTTCTGGAATTACAAGTGACTGAAACATAAATTTAAAGCAATGAAACAGCGTTCGCGTCAGAATCGTACACATTACGGTTACCACGCGAGTTAACCTACAAACGTATACTGCCGTCAGTTAATTATTTCACAATTCATCTTTACAATAATAGAAAATGACGTGTAAAGAATGAAGAAAAATAATAAGAAAAGCAATGAACTAAAGAATTTCACATTATATTGTAATCTTTCGAAATAAAAATAATAATCAAAACATTCAACAAGCAGATGATAGAATATCATACAATTTCTCCCGAGAAGATAAAAAATATTTTTATAGGAGATTACATAAATAAACGTTTCTTAATTTTCTATTAAAAATTTCCATATTCTGTGCAAGATTCTACCCGTAATTATAGATTTAAAAATGTTATGTACAAAACTCACCATCTTGTTGCTTTGTCAGTTGCTGAAAGAACTAACATCCGAAACGTAATTTTCTTCCTAGAGAGGGCATTGATGGTCGATTATTCAAGTTGGAAAATATAATTAAAACAAAAATATATGTCACACTATTGTAAATTATTTCACAAAGTGGAAAATAAATAATAATAATTTTATCTAACCTATTAGTGAATATTTATATCATAGCCCATTTTACAAAATTGACAATTTTGTAATGTTTAATTTATGGATACTAAAATGCTAGCGTCACGTAGCGGTGAAACGCTGGAATTAATTTCTATGTCTATCCTTGTCCTATGATATTGCGTTTCTTGTCTATAATCAGGTGCTGCCCTCTATTGACTTTAGTTGAAATTACGAAGTAAATTACAGGCATGCAGAATGTACAAGAAGGTATCTCAATTCCTGTTAGACAAGGAGTGTCATACCGTGCGATAAAGACAAATATACGTGTATCAGAAATGAAAAGAGAATAAAATTATTCCTTTCCTAAACTACATTTATACACTTTTGGAATGGCAAAATAAAGTTTAGACTATAAGGAATATCCACATGTTTAGGAACAGAATTTTTCTTCTATTAAGTAGTTATTAATAATTATTACGTAAATGGTGTCTTACGTTACGCGTAATTGATTTATGAACTTTTATACTCAGAAAATAAAGTAGAATGTCCAAGGAAGTCTTCTCAATCGCACAAAACCTAAATTAATCTTGCAAAAGTTAAACATTAAAAGAAAATAGAAGACATCTGTTGCAGTAGTAGTCTTGACATTTGTTACAATATTTATAATAACTAATTAATTAGACGGAAATTCCGTTCCAAAACTGTACGTGAAGATTGTTTGAATCTGCTCTTTATTATATACTCCTAAAAGTGCACAAGTCAATTTCAGAAATCGAATGACTAGTGAAATTTCAACAGATAAGATGAAGTATATCTAGTGTTGCAGAGTATCGCGCTGTTTATTTAAAAAACATTGAGACACTTTCTCACACGTTCTATATTTCTGTTACTTTTTTACATTTTTCAGCCTAATTGAACAGATGGCAGCACTTATGCCACAACTATAAATTTATTAGTTCCGATGTTTCATGCAGCGTTAGTGTATCAACATCATTGCATGGTGGTATTTCGTGCATATTTATTTCATTAATTAAAAGTAATTAAAAGTAATTAATTATTAATTATCGCAAAGGAATTAATTTATGAATCTTTATTTTCGAGTTTTCTTCTTCATATCATCAGAATTTCGAAGTGGGCATATAGAAATGTGCATAACCCGTTAATTGCCAATCAGTTCATTAAGGTTAGTATTGACAAATATGATAAAAATATGAAAAAATAAAATAAAATAAAATAATAAGAAATCAAGTAAAATCAAATAAAATAATGAGAAATCTAACATTAAGAAGCTTTGCTATCTTTCTCGTATGATCTACGTTATATTTACGTTATATGTAGGTTATAAAATACTTCTCGAATATTCACACTGCGCATGCTCGAATCTCGATCGATTTTATCAAATTTATCGAATTTTCGATAGTGAAGATGGCGGATTGGTAGAAAAATCTTTCGCCCGTGGCGCAGTAAAAATCGATCTCGCGGGTATAGTTCCGATAACTCAATAAGAAGCAAAGGTCTGAAAAGTAATTGTGTATATAGGGAGGATTGCCATTTTCAACGGAATACGATTTCCTGCTTGGTTTTCTCGAGCGTTTCCCTCTTTTCATCGCCGGATCCAGCAGGGTGGAGCAAAAACGAGCGCCCAGAGGGAAATAGGGAGAAGAAATTCCGAGGTATGATACCCCTCTGATTCGTTTTACGACGGTCGTTTCCTCGAATTAGGACGGAATAAGAAAGAATTCGTGAATCCGCTGATTTCGACCGGTCCCTCTTTTTTATCCTGCTTCTTGGGATATTCACGTACATCATATAAATAAAGCAAAAGTTCATGTATGTAAATGGGCGACCATATCTCGAGACGAGAAAGATTTTACTAGAGAATCTTTCGTATACTATGCTTGGGATAGAGATACCAATGCATGGTAAATTAAATTAAGTTGGCCGCATGATTTTTCATTTTCTTACCGCTAGTCTATTCTACTATCCTCTTTTGTTCTTAGATTATCTGACAATTATAACCCTATAATTCTGTTGTTTTTTAAGCTTAAACTTGTATGTATTTTAAGTTATTAATTTTAATATTTAGAAACACTGAAGAATTGTTATTGTTATAGAAATATTTATATAACCGATTCCACAATTAACATAATGGAAATAATGTATTTATAAAATTATTTTAAAGTACGCTCACCATATGAAGAAGAACACGAAGTAGATTCGGTCTCGTTTTTTTAATATAGAAAAGTTTTAATTTTACTCTTTTCATATTACATATGAAGTATTTTGTTTCACATTAAATATTTAATTGCTTGTAGACCTAGTCTTCCTGATTCAAGAAACAGTGCAATTTTAATCCGGACAAGAAGATGAAAAATCACAAAGTCATGGTTGAAAAGTGCTAATTTTCACGTGATACGTGATGTCGTCGTGATGTTTGTGACGAATAAACTGGGGAAACTGACCGTTCGCTATTCCAACAGTACGAACATTGAACGATACAGAGCACCTATGGTCATCGGCACGTGCTAACATATGGGCTTTAGGGCTTTGTCGGTATCCTGTGGTCTCTTTGCGGGGGTGGTGAATGGGATGTCATCGTGTTAAATGGCCCTGATGCCCGCGAATCCATTCAAGGGATTCGCACGTTCACCAAGATTCAAAACCAATTCTTGCGGCTAATTTCCATCGTTTATACGTTTAATTGCCTTTTCAAGCCACCTGGACTAGCGCTGCACAAAACGATTTCGTTCAATGGACTTTCAAATTGTCGCATCTTCCCCGCGTCTATTCATATCTATTGTTACACGAAAATCGCACGTTATTTGTCACGCTATAATCTGTGCTGTTGACTCTTTTCTTTCTCTCATCTTTTGCAATACTTTAAGACACGTATGTTTTTGTCTCTTTGACTAAAATTGGAGTTAAAATTTAATGCAATTATCACACATATAAATAATAAGTTAAGATTGTTAAATATTGAAAAAGGTCAAAGTTGTAATTCTCTGATTGAAAACATGAAATTGCTTTCGTAGTGGGGGGAACAAAAAATTTACGAGATTTTGTCAAATGCATTGCAGTGTGGTATTATAACGGTGAGACAAGATATTTCTCTTGATGAAAAACGGTACTTTCATTTTTATCTCGAAAATTCTTCAAAACTTTCCCTGTACCTGCATCTTCATCTCCAAGGTTGCTTCTTTTCCTTTTTCTTTTGAAAATCGACTTTCTAATCGGCTACTGAACATCCCGTTACCCTTCCCTATTTTTTTCTCTGACTTGTCAAAACTTCATCTCAGAAGTATCTCCTGCCTCATAATTAATTTTTTAAATTTTGTGTCACTTGGACCCCCCTCTGTCTTTTGGTGCAAAGTTCTTTTTGTCAGTCTTCTACAGAAATTAGTCGAGACATCTTCTAACGACAGATTCTACACGACCTGTCTTTGATCGAAAGAAAAACTCAAGAGGGAAAACGCAGCTGCAAGTAAGCAGTGTTCTGTGTATTGAGCAACTTTCTCCTCCTCATGGAGGTATGATCGGCAATAATGCACAATACGATCGTGTTCAAACGGTGACCGTGACGAAAATCAATTTCCCAGTACCATTTCGGCTTTGCAAGAGCCACCCGCAATCTTTGTCAGCAAACAGGAGCTCGTAAATTACAGTAGGAACGTCTCAATGTTTGCAAGACCCTGGCCTCCCATTTTCTACGTGTCTACGAGGTAGCGACATGTTAGACACGCATCCTGAATCTCAGTTAGCCGGAATAGCTCTTTCAGACTGTAGAGGCCCACATGTAAGAGATGCTTTTTTTCCCTTATCAAATGTTTATGGCAAAAATCATTCGTGTCTCACGCTGCTGTTTCTTAGACTTTCAGATTAAAACTACGTACTGTGGTCGACAATATTTCCTTTTAGCATACACATCAAGATCATTAGCGACTAGGACACGTGTGGATGGTATTTTATAGTATAGATCTGTGTTCTCTTCAGATGATTTTTCTTTCAAGAAAATCAGGGCAGAGTTTTCAAAGTTTGTGCAATTATATGTTGACAGATTTCTGACATTTATTCCAGATTTGGGAGGGGGGGGTTCAGTTTTCTTAACACTAAACGTATCAAACGGGATCAAATGATCCCTTTTCAAAATTTGCTTTAAATAAAAATGTATGTTTGAGTATTTCATTAGAAATCAGAAGTTATGTTGCAAATTATTTCCTTTAATAAATTAAAAATTTCTTTCTAAAAGTCAACGTTTATTCATAGGGGGTCAAATGACCCCTTTTCAAAATTTGCTTTAAATAAAAATGTATGTTTGAGTATTTCATTAGAAATCAGAAGTTATGTTGCAAATTATTTCCTTTAATAAATTAAGAATTTCTTTTTAAAAATCAACGTTTATTCATATGGGGTCAAATGACCCCTTTTCAAAATTTGCTTTAAATAAAAATG